CCGGTCCCCGGAGCACGCCGGGCACCTGGTGGGCCGGCGCGATCCCCTTCCAGACCCCGTTTCCGAAACGTGCGTGAAAGGAGCCGGGGTGGGCTTCCCCCTTCTCCTACCCGGACCGCACTACCAATCCCAGCGGCACCGCCGCCCCGCGCCTCGGCCGCAGGAGCGGTGCCTGCCGGGAGCTGGAGTCCCCAACGGCCGCGGCGCCCGCTGACCCCCAACCGGCCGCGGGTCCCGGCGCCCCAACCGTCCCGGCGCTGGAGCCCGGCTGCCGCCCCCGCCGTGCGCTCGGCGGAGGGGGGAGGGGTCCGCGGGCTCCGGGTCCTGTGGTTCCCGAGCCTCAGACGCCCCTCAGTCCTCCTTAGACCGGTCGTTGGTCAGTGGCTGTCATTTCGGGGAGCTGTTTGGGGGTCTTGGTCCGCTTCCCTGGTTAAAGAATGGTGGTCAGTGTGAATTTAAGGTGCTGGGTCGGAGGCACCGATGCGTGCTCTTCCTGCCAGAAATGTCTTTTGAGGCAGAAGACAGGACTGGAGAGAAAAAAAAAAATGATGTTTTTCCTTAAAGTATTGAGTCTCTGACCGTTTCCCATGGCACCGCACACCTGCAAGTGAGGCACATTTAGGAAGAGTCTGCAACGCGGCAGTGCGCGCTTAGGACAATTTTCCTGCATCGTTACGGCCTGTGATAGCAATGCGAAATGGAATGAGTTATGAGCCACAGAAATGCCGGTTAATAGGAATGGCTATATCAGCACACAAATTCCCACTGTAAAGTACTAATGTGTTCAATAGTTGTCCAAGGACTCGCATAAACATCCGACCATCTGTTCCCTACAGCAATCTTGTGTGGGACGGGGAGCAAGTAGTAATAATTTTTTTATTTTACTGTTAAGGGAAACGGCCTCAAATGATTGCCCAGCGCATTCTTCATCTCAGTAAACTTCAGTGCATGCCAAGCGTATTGGCAGGTCTGCACCGGGCACTGCATTGTCATTTAATTAACATTTAAATCAGCCGAGTCCCACGTAGGTGCTCTTTCACCCTTATCTTGGTAGGAAGAAAAATAATATTTCTGAAAAAAACATGTTGCTTCATGTGCTTTATTAGGCAAAAGAGCCAAAAAAAAAAACTCAGGACTGTGCCTTAAGAAGACGCATCTATTCCTAAATGGTAAATCACACTCAATCTATTAGAATTCTGGTTAAAATCAAGCAACTTCCCAATTGATGTCCAATCGATATATAGAGTGCCTGTCAAGGGGAGAGTACTATATTCGTAAGTAAGGAAGATGGATGGCAGACAAAAACTCCTGTCCTCAGAGGGTGATGATGAGTTCCTCTGGTGGTCATAGATACGGACATTGGATTCAGTACAGTCAACATCCAATCCCAGCATCCTATCTATGACAGTTTTCTATTAGATTCCAAATTTGTTTTCTTTAAAACGAGGGTAAAAATTCCATTATTATAACTTTAAAATAAAACATGACTTTATTTTAGTATTAAATCACTGGACAGAGACAATACATAAAACCAAAGAGGGTTAAAAAAGAGTCGTACTCAATAAAGGGGTGAAGGAAGATCACCCCCAATAACTTGTAAATTAAACTACACCAAGTTTAAACTATCCAAACCATGCATAATTACCAGGATTATCTATCCAGGGGATTTTAACATATACTTCTGGTAGAGGAAGATGAGGGTACGGTGTCTGGTTGGACTTCACTAAAACATGACTGTAAATAACAAAGGTGGGGAAAAAAAATGGTCTGCTTGGAGTCTAGAAAATTTTGTCCAGAGAACAAGAGTTTAGCCCTGACCGGTTTGGCTCAGTGGATAGAGCATTGGCCTGCGAACTGAAGGGTCCCAGGTTCAGTTCTGGTCAAGGGCATGTACCTGGGTTGCAGGCACATCCCCAGTGGGGAGTGTGCAGGAGGCAGCTGGTCGATGTTTCTCTCTCATTGATGTTTCTAACTCTCTATCTCTCTCCTAATCCCTTCCTCTCTGTAAAAAATCAATAAAATATATTTAAAAAAAAGAGAGAGAGAGAGAACAAGAGTTTGGCCAGCACTATCTAGGGTGGGTTTGAGCACTCCCGTCACTAGAGCTTGCATTAACTCTCAAAAGACTTCTCTTTGTTATGAATCCATTTTAAACAAGCAACTTCCCAATTGATAAGTCCAATTAATTAGCTGAGCTTCCGGGGCACCTTGACACAGGAAATGGAAGCCCTGGGTGGCAGACAGAAGTATTCCAGTCACTGGAAAGTTACACCAGTTCTTTGTAGGTTAGTAAGTACTTTGAGAAGGAAACTGGCCATCAGGATTCTTAGGCAGCTGTAGTTGTTGGCATGCAGGGCATGTCCTTGTCATACTTGAGGAAGGTACAGTTGCGTATGTACAGGGAAGACTAGAAGCCAAGCCGGTCCCTGCGGAGAGGGAGCTAGTTGACTCAGGAGAGGGAGTCGGAGCTCATCTCAGGAGGAAATAGGAGTGGGGTCTGAAGCAAACCAAGAGCCTGTTCCCTTGGTCCATGAATCAAGTCACCTCTTTCTCATTATCTCCACCAAGCTCCTTTCTCTCAGATAAAAAAATCAAACAAACTCTCCCTTAATCACATATTCTCTGATTTACTCTCTTTTTCAAAGCCACACTTTTTATTTCCACTTCTTGTCTCCCCTTGATTCCTCAACCCCTGGATGATACACTCTCTCCCACCTCCACTCAGACCGCCCTCTCAGCAGTCGGCAGTGATTCCTCTTCTGTTTGACAATCCAGTGCACTCTCTTCTGGTTAATTTTGTTTGACATCTGTAGAATCTGACCCTGTTTTTCTCCCTCTTTTTTTTTTTAATACACTCTCTAGGCTTCTGGGCTACGAGTCTCCTGGTTCTGCCCAGCTTCCAGACTATTCCCAGCCTTCCTGTCACCCTCCCTGACCACTCAGTTGGGCTTTACCTTGACCATCCCTCTGCCACTACATTTACCACATTGTTTTTAAATAGTCTGCTTATGAAATCACTTGTAAGCTCTAAAATAGAGCCAATGTTCTATTTATCTGTATCCCTATTACCGATCATAAAGCCTGGCACATTGGAGGGTTGCCGGGAGCCGGTCAATCCTTGCTGCTTGACACAGTCGCTGCAGGGAAGAAACATCTGCACAGCATATGTTTCAAGGGACCTGGCTTATATGGCATACTGTTCTTAATATGTTTGCTCCCCTTCTTGGCGCTATGTGTTTTAACCAAGGTCACCTCTCCGAGAAAGGTTGTTTCCCCAGGTAGGGATTTTTCCCTGAAGTTAGGGAGGGGATAAAACCCCTTAACTAAGTGCCAGGCGGGTAGTTAATCACTTTAACTATGAACAATCACACTTAAGCTACATAATCTTTACTCCCTGGAATGGAGATAAGAAACGCCCTAACCTTTGCAATAGAAATTGACAGGATTATGCCAAAACTGGTTTGGCTCAGTGGATAGAGCGTCGGTCTGTGGACTGAAAGGTCCCAGGTTCGATTCCGGTCAAGGGCATGTGCCTGGGTTGCGGGCACATCCCCAGTAGGAGATGTGCAGGAGGCAGCTGATCGATGTTTCTCTCTCATCGATGTTTCTAACTCTATCTCTCTCCCTTCCTTTCTGTAAAAAATCAATAAGATATATTAAAAAAGAAATTGACAGGATTAAAATCAACTGGTATAAATACAGATGTAACAAGACAATAAACACCAGAACCTGGCCAGAACTTCGATGGAGATCCTGACCAGAACTTGGCTGGAGATCCTGGAGGGAGAACCTCGCCATGCTGATAAACTGAACCCTGTCTCCATGTCATTCCTTCTTCGCCGACTCCGTCCACACCTTTGGGAACCCCTGGACCTGTTGGG